ATTGGCACCTTATCATGTAGCTTTTATTTTGTATATTTGGTCTCTAGGTGTAGCAAAGCTCTTATCTAAGGGAGTGGAGGCCCTATTATTTATAGGATAATAGTTTTCAAATTTACATGGGATCCAGGGGCCATGTTGCATTGGTGCCATTGCCTTTATTGATTTTTTGACATGCGAGGGGAAGGGAGCAAAACAACCAAGACATCTATATGTTCTAATCACTTGCTCTTGTTTCATGCGCTTGCTGTTCTTGTAAATTTCGTAGATGTGCAAGTTCATTGGTCCATATGTGTACTTCCTGTTAGAAGGAAGAGAGAGGTTTGATGGAATAGTTGATGTATTGCTTGAGCCTCGTGGGCATATAAATAGGAGTACAAAGACCAACTTGGAGTACAAGACAAGGCATGACCAAATCCTAGTCTATCCTATACTTCCTAATAATTCTTATACTCAACATCCCCCCGCAGTCACAACGGTAGCAACGCAGACGGTGAGACTAGAGAAGAATCCGAAGCCAAGCCGACGGACACACCCCCACAGTCGTAACGGTCGATGCATCGCGGAGTCGTGGCTGGAGTGGAAACCGACGAGGTTGCTCAAGTAGGCGGTAGCACTTTGTGCCATTTGTCGATGTAGCTGAGAGCGTGGGTGGTGGAGCCGTGGTCGAGGTAGCCGTGCGAAGAATGCCGTGGTCGATGTCGAGTAGGGGTAGCTGGTGTCGAGGAAGTCACCGTGGAGCCGCGGGCGCAAGGAGGCGCCGAGTTAGTCGTGGGCACAGTGGTGTCGAAGTAGTGGTGCGCGAGGAAGTAGATGACGTTGATGATGCGTCACGCCAGGGTTGCCAACCCCGTGAACACATCGTAGACGAAGGCACGCGTCGGTGTTGCCAGCACCGGGCATGCGTAGATGGACGAAGACGAAGTTGACGAAGCACCGTACTAGGCTTGCCAAGCCCGGGACACGTCGTGGACGAAGGCACGCGGCGGTGTTGCCAGCATCGGGTATGCATAGACTGGGACCTGCACGAGCTGTACGCCATGTCGAAGAAGTCGGAGAGGCCAACAGAGAAGGACTCGACGACGGTTGCGGCGCAAATCGGCGCGGGGCCAGTGTCGCTTGCAGTTGTCGGAGTAGATGAAGCGGTCGGGATAGATGACGGCAACGCTGGCGACAGGCTGGTGCTGGACGAAGACGAAGGGGGTGGACGGGCGGCTGCGGCGGCTACGGGAGTAGCGGCGGCGGCGGCCGAAGAAGAACGGCGGCGGCGGCGGCTAGGTTAGGAGCGCGGCGGCGATGCTCGAAGTAGGCGAAGAACCATGACAGCATGACGAAGACCGGCACGGGCGGTGGCATTCCCGTGCCAAGGGAGACGACGCGACGCATACACAGGAAGTTGACTTGTGGGGACGACGGATTGGACCGCTGGCCACGGCGCAACGGCCGGAAGGGGCGACACAGTGGCGGCGGGCACGTCGGGGTGACGGCAGGAAGACCTCGAGGCGGTGGTGGGGACCGCAGGCCGTGGCGCTACGGCACAAAGGGGCGGTGCAGAGACGGAGCGCGGGTCGGTGCAACCGTGGGGACAGCCTCGGGGCGAGGGCTAGGACCGCGTATCGCGGCACTACGGCCCGTAGGGACAACGCAGCGGCGACGTACGAGTCGATGCAGCCGCAAGGAGAACCACGGGGCGGCGGTGCTGCGGCCCGACGGGGCGACACAGCGGCAG